TTTTTTTTTTTTTTTTTCCTCTCTCTCTCTCTCTCTCTCTCTCTCTTTCTCTCGTGTGGAAATTTTTTCTCAATGTTGTGACTCACGACCTCACGTGCTTTAAAAATATTTAGATGAAACCCGTCATTGCAACAGCCGCCAATGACGGAGAGACCGACGTCATGGAAACAGCAGCCATTCTAAGTGGTCGTTCCCTTTCATGCGAGGATAACGGAACAACAGTTCATCAGCACACCAGCGGCGGGGGCATCACTGCAGCATGTGATGACGTGTTGGCCACTATTCAAATGGAAACTGAGCAGATGCTGGTTAATGTGGATGACAACGAAAGCGGTGCACGAGGAAACAATGGTCACACAAAGAAGGTGGGTGGAGAGAGAGAGGACGAAGATGTTGCCAGCGAGGGTCCTCACAGTGGATGCATTGTCAAAGATGCAAATGTGACAAAGACAATGGCCGGAGATAGATACCCGTACGATGTGAACTGGGTGCCTGGTCGTGTTCAGCCTGGTATCGTTAGAGGTGTGGATTGCTTTGCTTTCAAGGTTGGTGATGAGTGGGTTGCTTTTCCTCCCCCAATGAATGAAACATGGTGTAACGTATGTCTGTCATTTATCTATGACAGAGTGTTGAGGTTAAATGACGGGGCAACGACCCAAGATGCTTGTCGACACGCATTGGACATGTATCGTGTTCTAGAGGCAAAGGGTGAGTTGCGCCTCAATGATTTCCTATATGACAACGTTAACTGCAGTCGGCTGTGGGAGTTGGGTGGCCAGCAAGGCAGGAGGAGAACGCCAGTCGCCCAAGATGATGCAAGGAGGGATCCTCGATGGGGTTGGGTGCCATCTGCAGTCCCATTTGGATATGGCCGTGTCAAGATGCAAGTGCGTGATATCATGGGCAATGTGTGGAGCGCGCATTAAGTGAATGGCATGTTTTCGTTCCGTCATTTCGACAGAGAAGCAACTGCAGAGGAAAAGAAAGCGATGAGATGCAGGTCACGCAATGCACGCATTTCTGACCCGCCACTCGGCAATCCTGTCGAGTTGGCCCTCGCTGAAGGGAAGGTGTTTACTGGTGAGAAGCGCATCACATACGTCCACGTTATGGGGAAAGAAGCCACATTTGATGGCATCTGTATGGACATATGGGACCATACAGCAATGCGGAAGGATGTCGTTGCAGCCAGTAACATTGCGGCGCATGTGATTCAAGAAGGGCAGTTGTACCCGCATGTGGCCCGTGACATGTACGGGTACCATATCAACTGGGTACCTGGTTCTTTGCATCCAGCAGTTGTTGATGGCAAAGTGACACTGGCAGCAAGGATGCAATCCGGTGAGTGGCTGCCTCTGGGTTGGATTCATGCTGGCGTTGTGGAGCATTGGCAGTTCTTGGTGGTGGTGACATGTGTTTCCGTTTGCAATCCTCATGTGAGGGACCGACGATTGCTGGAGGAACACGCTCAACGTTGTTGGGAGAAGATAAGGGAGGAAGATCGGCAGATGGTGTGCATGGGATATGACGACCACAATGACCAGGCGATGTGGTTCATTGTGGAAGACGCGTGCACCGACCAACCACGACCCTCAACGAATAACTTATTGCTGGAGGGCATTCGACGCAGATATGGGTGCACATCACTACTTGGGTGGGTTCCTGTCGTCTGTCCCATGACATATGAGCATGGGGAACAGATGTGCATGAGATTGAGAGACCCTCTAGGTGTCCCTTTCCAGCTCACGTTCATGGATGGACTGCCGCTACACATTCAGTACGCGGGTGATGACGACGGTCGTGCTGCAATCAACCCTCAACAAACAGCACAGCAGCAGCAGGACATTTCACATTTTTCCTTTGAGGTCGACGCCCCGGAAACGACACATGATGAGGGATGTTCTCACGCACAGCCCGACGACGGTGACACCCCTGTGGAGCACGTGACAGGGAGGGCAGAGAAGAAGAAGAAGCGATGCACGTCCAGGCCGCCTCGTCATCCCAGGAGTCCCACAAAAGCAAAAGGCAAAGAAAAAGTTGTCCCACGTAGAGGCGAGACTCCCAAAGCAGCCGCTGCCCCAGCTCCTAAGCGCAGGCGCCGCCCGGGGATGGCAGCATTGGCAGAGATTCGGCAACTCCAACGATCTACTAACTTGTGCATCGGTTTGAGGCCGTTTATGAGGGTAGTGGGCGAGATCGTCGAAACAGATATCACACCGGGGGAGTCTATGAGGTTTCAGATGAGCGTCATACGTGCGTTGATGGAAGCGGCGGAAGCATATCTCATCAACCATTTCGAGAGAATGAACATCATCTATCCACTACAAGAGGGTGACGATCCAGCTGAAGGACCTGAGGCTGGTTGATAACTTGTCCAAGGCTCGCTGGAAATACAGATACCAAGGCATTACCGACGAGCAGAAGAGAGCAGAAAAGCTACGGCAGATGAATGCTGCAAGGCAAGAGGAGAGAGATGCGCGGGCGGGGAAGGGGTTGTTAGGGAAGACAGCAGCAGCACGCAAAGGCGGTGACACTCCAGTGGCGTCATCGAAAAGGAAAGGAGCCCCTCGTAAAGGCAATGCAGCAAAGAAAAGCACGAGATAAGAACACAGTGAAGATTGCAGTGAGACCGCGCCACGTGACTTGCATTGACTTGTTGTTATCTGCGGCCTGCGGCGGGACACAGGGGCTGTACTGTAGTAGTGCAGATTCGTTGTTTTGTTTGTGTGTGGGCCTGACCGTTGACTAAGTTTGTTGGGACTAAGTTTGTTGGGACTGACCGCACGCCCCATATGCAATTCTGAATATTGTTGGGTCAGTACCAACCACTCTTGTGCATACGACCTCACTGTCGAATTGACAGCCCCGGGCTATTCGGAAAGCCAGCGGTGTCAACCGCTATTCTGTGGGATGAGCCCGTAGCCGGGTAAGGTCCAGGCCAAAACTGGGCAAGTTGAGTCGGTGCCGTTGGTATAGGTGGTAGCGCAGACTAGGGCAGGCGTATGTAAAGTGTAGATGCATGCTGGGGGATCTTTCTGCCCAATTCATACTTCGTGGTGTGAGTTCCTGTGCACGACGTTTGCTGCACGAATCTGGGCCCGACACACAACCGCTATTGTGTTGTGTGCTGCATGAGCTGCGTACTGGCGATCCTGCAAGAGCTGTTATGTGCTGCATGAGCTGCTGTGAGCCGTGTGCTGTGTGGTATTTGAGCTGCTGTGTGCTGTGCGGTGTGTGTTGTGTGCTGCAC